AATTGGGGTTTTCATTCGGTTCTATTAGCGGCCATCTCTCCTCCCTGAAACCGACTTAGCAATTCTCACTACTTTAAGTGTAAGTTTTTCACGCATATTCTCCTTGTGGTTTGGGATGTTAAATGGTTTTTATGTGCATATGCTTTTGTTTTTCAGAACAGCTTTTCCATTGATTAAAAGATCAAAACTGTATACGTTTTTCAAGTGCAACGTGGCACACTAATAAAGCCAGGCGATAAATGCTTTTGGGCCCTGCTACTGAAAAAATCTCAGCATTTCCCTTCTTTAATACTTCACAACCAGTTTTCAAAATGAGCAGCAGCATTAGCTTGGCAGCAGCCTTTGGTTTACATCAGAAACAGCCCAATGAAGCCTGTCTTTGCCTTTACTCAGCTGTTTCTGAACAGAGACAAAGGCAGATGTTAAACCATTCATTTTGCCACAATTTACCATCTGCCTTTGGCTGTGCTGGGGAAGCAGCCAAACAAGGTGGCATGCCTGTTTCTGACTGAAGATTAATGCTTGTTGGAGAAGAACTAATAATAAAAATCCAACACATGATGCATTTTAGAACATAATAGTCACTTTTAAATAAATTTCAAACCCCAATAAATGTAACAGTGGCAATAAGAAAAGATCCGTTGTTGGGAAATAAACAACTATTATTATACATTTAAACAAAAACACAATTCTGTAGCTGAAGTGCAAATATGTGCACAATTAGCCGCCCCATCCTACAAGGGTGGAAGCAGCAGCTCTTTGGTGTCCTCTCTTTGTGTTAGCAAAAGGATTGCAAAAACTTATACACAATAGCCTAAAGATGCTAAAGGTAGCATAGCCTGGAGGAATGAGCATAAGGATTCATCCTGGCTCTGCCACTGATTCACTCTGTGGCATGAGGTAAGTCTCTTTGTTTCCCATCTGTAAAATGGGGATAATAATGCTCACTTATTTTGCAATGGAGACAAAATAATTAATGTTTATGATAAAACTCAAATACTGTAGTGATTTAAAAAAAAGCCACGAGAAAGTGAATAATTCTGTATTAATTGCAGGCTTTAGAAGGTATGCAGTAAATAGATTAGGACCACTAATTGAATGACTGGGATAAAAACACTGAATGTCTGACTCATTCCCTGAGCACTATCCATCCTGCGTACTGAGTGAGGCAGGAATCCTGTGGAAAAAGTAGTCTGGAATCATGTAGTTAAAGACTGTATCATAATGCCTACACCTCAACATGCTTGTGTGCCTAAACTTTTAGGGTAGCTCAGTACTATGTATCCTTTCCCCACTCTGTCTCTGGCTGTGTGTGTACAGTGCACAGAGTACAGTAGGGTGTGACACACACTCACACATATCGATATCCTTCTGCTTCTGACCTCAAAAAGTGTCGTCCTAAGCACTGTCAGTCTATAAATGTCCAGCTGCAATCTAAGAAATGCATTTTAAATGTGGGTGCAAACATATCTATTAGTGATAAACCAGAGCAGCATTTTTTGCCTTACAGAGATTCAAACCTTCCTGGTTAAAGTTATAGGCCCAATAGTAACATCTCAAGGCCATGTCCTTTACTGACATGGTGAGGTGATGAGATCCCTATGCAAAGTTTCTGCTGATGAAGTGAAGAAGCGTTCTTCTTCCCATTTGTTAACACTTGCTGAAAATGAAAGAATATATTGTATAGCCCATAAACCTTCCAGGACATGTGAGCAGGCTGACATGCTGTGCTCTATGCTATCTTAATTATGATGAAAGTCAGACCCTTTAAAATAGCTTGTGGTCTACTAATTATTCAAATTAATCCCCACTGGTTAATGAAATATCATCCTCTCAGAGACTGTAGCATAGGTGCAGCCCAAATGAGGGTGCCTGAAATAGTGTGGTCTGGAGAAAGATGCACTGCTGGGGCAGATCTAAGTCCAAAGTCTCACTCTGCCATTCATTTGCTGTTTGATCTTGGGCAAGTCTCTTCACTTCTCCATCTCAGTTTCCCCATCTGGTTATTTAACTATCTGCCTTACAGGGAGGGATGTAGTAAATTAGATAATATCTGTATAATGCTTTGAGCGTGTAAAATGTACCCTGGTGTCATTATATAGTTCAAATTGGTGGGTTGAATACTCCACCTGGCCATCCCACAGAAAAGCTAGTTCAAGGTGGAACTTTCGCATTCTCTTCTGTCTTCATTTTGAGAACTACAATTTTCCTCTTAATCCCTCTGCTCTTCCCACCCCATGCTTCCAACCCCTGATTTCTTCCCAGAATGTTTAGTCTAAGAAAGAAGGCATGTCAGCATCACCCTGTATAGAACTGAATGCCACTGAGTCATATGTCAAAGCACATTCGATGGAGGCCTGTCATTCTTCTCTGTTGGAACTCACATGTTGTATCCCCTTTAATTTTCAATAGACCCAAGGTCTTCCCCTTGTCTTGCTGTCCCAGATAATATTTCTGTGATCTGGCCACCAAGCCACTGGTATTCTTACTAAACAATTTTTAAAGCTATTTTTACAGCGAATTGTGTTAAAACTTATACCACACTTATACCACATAAAAGTTAATGACACAGAGCTCCTTTGTAAAGCACTTTGAAATCTACAGATGAGACGTGCTATATATGCACTACGGTGGTATTAGTATTATTTTCCACTGATGTATTAAAAATAGCTATTGAAGTCAGTGGGATTTGCACCTGTTTATGCTGAAGGTAACTTTGGCCATTCACTATCTTGAAAAACTTTTTTTTTAAATGAGCCTCACCTGAGGTGTATTTATGTGCTGTAATATTTGTGAAAAGATCCTGCTGCCTTACATTCAGTACTTGTCTGTCATCTTATCTGTATTTCAGTTTTACAGGCATGTTAATATTTCAGGGAATTGCTTTCTGCTCTAAGCTCAGGTTTCAAATGCAAGAGAGGTCCACTCAGTCCTTCTTCCTTCTGAGGTATCTGACTAGAGTTCAGTGCAGGTTACTGTGTGTGGTTCTTTCAGATGAGACTTCAGAAATTGAGACCCAGTCTTTTCTTATGGACCTTAAAGACTCTGAAGTGATGGGTAAATAACCCTTATAGTAACTTATACTCTTTACACCAAAGGCTTTTAAAGTACTAAGTACTAAAACTAAGTAGCTATGGGATCAGAGGCAAGGTCCTTTCATGGAGCAGTAACTGGTTGAAAGATAGGAAACGCCCTGGTGTACACTAGGGTGGGGGGATCGATCTAAGTTACAAAACTTCAGCTACGTGAATAACGTAGCTGAAGTCGATGTACTTAGATCGACTTACCGTGGTGTCTTCTCCGCGGTGAGTCGACTGCTGCCACTCCCCCATCGACTCCGCCTGCGCCTCTCGTGGCGGTGGAGTACAGGAGTCGACGGGAGAGCACTCGAGGGTCGATTTATCGTGTCTAGACTAGATGCGATAAATCGACCTCCGCTGGATCGATCGCTGGTAGTGTAGACATACCCAAAGGCTAGGAATTAATGGTCAGTTTTCACAATGGAGAGGTGAACTGAGGGGTCCACCAAGAATCTGTACTGGGACCTCTGTTGTTCAACATATTAATTAATAATCTGGAAAAGGGGTGAACAGTGATGTGGCAAAGTTTGCAGGCAATATAAAATTATTCAAGATAATTACATCCAAAGCTGACTGCAAAGTGTTACGGAAGGATCTCACAAAACTGGGTGATGGGGTAACAAAATGATAAAATTCACTGCTGATAAGTGAAAAGTAATGCACACTGAAAAAAAATAATCCCAACTATATGTATACAATGATTGGTTCTAAATTAGCTGTAACCACCCAAGAAAGAGATCTTGGAGTCACCAGGGATAATTCTCTGAACACTTCTACGCAGTATTCAGCAGCAGTCAAACAGGCTAAAAGTATGTTAAGAACTATTAGGAAAGGGGGAAAAAAAGACATAAAATATCATAGTGCCACTATATAAATCAATGGTGTGCCCACACTTTGAATACTGTGTCCAGTTCTGGTCAACCCATCTCAAAAAGGATACAGTAGAACTGGAAAAGGTTCAGAGAAGAGAAACAAAGATGATTAGGGAAATGGAATGACTTCCATATGAGGAGAGACTAAAAAATTAGCGCTGTTCAGCTTAGAAGAGAGACGATTAAAAGGGGATATGATAGAGATCTATAAAATCATGAATGATGAGGAAAAAGTTAATAGAAAAGTGTTATTTACCCTTTCACACAATTCAAAAACCAGGAATAACCTGACCAAATTGATAGGAAGCAGGTTTAATACAAACAAGAGGAAGTACTTTTTTACACAACACACAACTGACCTATGGAACTCATTGCCATGGGATGTTGTGATGGCCATAAGTACACCGGGGCTCAAAAAAAACCTGGATAAGTTCATGGAGGATAGGTCCATCAATGACTATTAGCCAAGATGGTCAGGGACACAACCCCATGCTCGTGGCAACCCTAAAGCTCTGACTCCCAGAAGCTGGGAGTGGAAGACAGGAATGGATCACTCCCTAATTGCCCTCTTCTGTACACTGCCCCAGAAGATCTGGCACAGGCCACTGTTGGAGACAGGATACTAGGCAAGATGGAACATGGTCTGACTCAGTATGGCAGCTCTTTCTGTTCTCTTCATCCCCTCCACGTTTGGCTCCCTGTGTCATTTTTTATAAATGCAAGGTTTTGCCCATTTTATTAGTCAAAATGTCAGTGCCCCCGCCCAATTTGTGTGTTGTGCTGCTTAGTCGTCAGCCAGAATTTGCCTGCTTTTTGCTGATCACTGAAGCTGTGTGTGTGTGTGTGTGAGAGAGAGAATTCTCACTGAAATCAACAGGAGTCAAGGGTGCTCAGCATTTATTGAGCAATTTGGGATGAAAAGTGAACTTGTGGGGGGAAAAGGACAGTCTTTACCTGATATAAAATGCATATATATAAAACAAGTAATAATATATAATAAATATTTGTGTTATGTGTAGATTTTCACCTATTGTTTTGTTTCTTGTAGATTATTGGAACAATTCCACTGATGCCTAATCCAGTCCCATCCAATCAGGCAGCAGGAGGAGCTCAGGGCCTTCAAGTGCAGCCAATTACCCCACAGTTATTGACCAATGCCCAGGGTCAGATCATTGCTACAGTCATTGGAAACCAGATACTACCAGTGATCAACACCCAGGGAATAACGCTATCACCACTCAAACCAGGCCAACAGGTAAATTATCTATAGCTTCAGTGATTTCAAAAACAGCCGCAACAGAAATAACCATCTGCTCCTTACTCACTTTCATAGCCTTTTTTCAGAGTTCCCTGTTTCGTTACCATTCTGTCTCGCGGAATGAAAGGTATATTTTAATTATATTCAGACTCATTCAGGCAGGGGGAAAAATTCAAAGAAGTAGTTTCGCTTTTCTCTCTTATGAGCAAAGTACTTCAACCAGCAATGTGTTATTCTGAAAGGAAAAATTGTTGTCTAAAGCTGAATGGAGTGACTTATATTGCAGGCACTTCCATAATAGTTCATTTCAAAAATATAGCAAGTTTCATTTTCCTTTAAAAAGAAAACCAGGCTATTCACTAACTTCCTCAGTTAAAATGTATATACGAGTGTATGCACACAAAAAACCAAGGGAAAGGTTGCAGTGAAAAAATGTCATTCAGTATAATGTACCATGCAATCCACAAATTTCAGGATGGATGTAGCAACCTCGTATAGTCCAGAAAAGGTTCTATAGTTCATTAAATCCTTCATGATTGTCTAATGCTCTAAAGGCAAGATTAATTAGTTCTTGCCATGTTTGTAAAGAATAAAATGCTGTCTGATCCAAAATCTTTTCATCTGAAAAAGGAAAAGCCAAGTCTAGAACAGATCAGTGCAATGATATCAAGCTGTGATTGCCAAGAGAAGTCATATTATGAAAGAGTTAGTCATTTCAATGGTCAAGTTATTGTGGTGGTGGTGGTGGTGGTGTTATTGAACCTTTGTTTATTTTTAGACACCAGTAAGTCTATCCCATACCCCCATCCCTAGGGGGTAATTCCTATCCTCTAGGATAGAGTGAACTATAAATTAATCTCAATTGTGCCTTGTTTAGCTTGAGATTTAAAGAGCTAATGAATTTCTAAGATGGCTCTTTTCTTACGCCTCATACCTTTATATGGCTGCACCTTCTTTTGCCAGCCTACTCTTTTGGTCATTTAAGGAAGGAATTTTCAAAAGTGCTCAGCATTGGCCCAACTCTACTCCCATTGCAGTCACTAGTAAAACTCCCATTGACTTCAGTGGGAGCAGACTTAGGCCAATGTTGAGTGTTTTTGAAAATGCCACCCTTAAATGTTTAGTATCAGAGGAATGTAAAGTGCCCAGGCCATATATTCCCCTGCAGTGGAAAATCTGCATATGGGTTAGGAAATGCAGCAGGTTTCATCCCTCAGTTTCCTTCTGATTGTCCCACTGAGAGGGCAGGGCTTTTCCTCCCTCCCGGAGAAGGCAGGGGTGAGACTCACAAAAACTGTTGCTCTCCTGAGATCCCCTGGGAGATCCATGGATCTTAGGACAACCATGGATCACAGAGGCCTGTTAGCAGAGGTCTAAAAATCATCACAACTCTCTGCCGAGCCAGGTTCCTATGGAATCCTGGCTGGCTGCTGCAGAGGGGGACCCCATTCAAGCTAGAGCTGCTTGTGGTACTAGACCCCCCAAAGTGGGCGAGAAGGGGGTGGATGGCAGTGGAGCCAGGGCCTCATCCCCTCCTCTGCAATGCTGATGGAGTCAGCCTCATATGGAGAGAAGCATAGTGCCTCTATGAACTGTTGCTAGATGGTGCAACTAGTTGCAATGGGACAGTCCAATGGCTGAAGAGCCGCTATTTGGTCTTACCATATCGTATGTCAGTGGTTCATCCCGCCCAAGTGCCTTGGTGTGGGCACCATAAATGCACAAGGACAAATCATCAGCTAGTGTACATTGTCACAGCTTCACTGAAGGCAATGGAGCTATGACAGTTTCCACCAGTTGAGGAACTGCAACATATTGTACAATATAAATAAAAAGAGTTACTATAAATTGCCCACCAATAAATGAAGGAGACACAGATATATGTTAAATAATGTATTTGCTTCAAGTTCTATTGAGTAGGAAGGTGAATCTTTAAAAGCAAGCAAATGAGTCCTTGGAGGGATTTTATTTTCAAAGGCGAAATAACAAATATTTTTTCAAGTAACGGTTTTTCAAAAGATCAGCAGCTCCGGGTCCAATCCCACTGACCTTATTCAGTCAAACTCCAGGATTTCAATGGATTGCCCCGAGTAGTTCAGCACCAAAAAAAATCTCTTTCTTAAATCTATGGTAAGCTGATGTCGAATGTCCTCCTCAGTGTGGATATAAAAAAACCTAATACAAAATTACCGGTATATTAAAAATACTATAAAATCACTATTTTGATCAGAGCTACAGAAAAATAGTTCTGTGTGTTTGTGCTCCCTCTACTGGCTCTTCAAGCTTTTACCTAAAGCCCCCAACAAAAGTCAGTGGCATTTTTGGCATTGATTTCAACTGGAGCAGAGCTAAGGCCTAAGAACCTAGTCCTACAAGTTGATAGTGCTGATGCTCAGATAAAGAATCAAATGAGATGTAACAATACTGGCTGTTTGAAAAGTAAACAGGATTGCACAAGGTATAAATCAGTACTGAAGTTAGCCTGTTATCTGCCAGACATGAACCCATCACAATTTTTGGCTGTAGATATGAACCTTCCCTCAAGCCAGGGGTGTTTCAGTCCAACATTTTGTTTCAACTCATCTCTACTCCTCTGCTATAAAGGCTAATTTTCAGAAGAGCTGAGCACTCACAACTCCATATAAATTCAGTGGGAGCTACAGGTACTCAGGATCTCTGAAAATCAGACCCATACTCTATCTGGTAGATAATTTTCAAATTTCTTTAAGTATATTGGGGAGAAAAATTGCAAACCATTTTTTTTAAGTTTTGAGAGTGTAAAAATAAATCAGTGAAGTAAAAATTATGTATTAAACTAGGGTTACAGCCAATCTCAATTCATCATGCAACTTTCCATCCTTTTGGAAACACGGCAGTTAAGGAAACGCTGCAAGTTGTGTCAGATATTCTTCTGCAGTAGGATCTGACTATTCATTCCATGGCTGTCCCAGTCAGGCATCACAGTGGCTCTGAGGTTTCCTCTGAATCTTTCAGCAGACCCATGAATGGTTACATAAACTGTTAGCCTTCTGGATTTTCTCTAGATACATATGAGTCCATTATAAAGTACAGTCAAGCAAAAAAGACTGCTGTAGCTCAGAGCAGCCTCTAGTCCTCAGTGACTGTATTTAATTTAAATATTTTTCTATTATATATTTCTATTATATATTTTCCCATTGTGAGATAAAAATATATGCAATCCTGTTCAACATATTCATAAATAATCTGGAAAAAGGGGTAAACAGGGAGGTGGTTAAGTTTGCAGATGATACAAAACTACTCAACGTAGTTAAGCCAAAGCTGAGTGCAAGGAGTTACAAAGGGATCGCACAAAACTGGGTAACTGGGCAACAAAATGGCAGATGAAATTCAATGTTTGTAAATAGAAAGTAATGCACATTGGAAAATATAATCCAAACTGTACATACAAAATGATGGGGTCACAAAATTAACTGTTACCACTCGAGAAAGATCTTGTGGAGAGTTCTCCAAAAACATCTGCTCAATGTGCAGCAGCAGTCAGAAAAGCAAACAGAATGTGAGGAACCATTAGGAAAGGGATAGATAATAAAATAGGAACTATCATAGTGCCACTGTATAAAACCATGGTGCTCTCGCACCTTGATGTATTTTGAGCTGAAAATATTTCTGCTCATATTTAGGCACCTGCCTGATTTTTCAGATTGCAGGGCACACAGCAGTTCCTTTTAGAGTCAATACTGCAAAACTTATTTGTGACTATTCAAATTCAAAAGGGAAATTTGATTCGACCATATTCACATCTTGTGCTGCGCAAATAATGAAAACAGTGATTGGCTAAATCGTTTGTTCATAAATCTTTGTATCCTTTGTCAAGGATGTACCTTGTTAGCTTCTTTCTGTGTTTTTTAAATTAATTGTCTAGCATTTGCGGGTGGTGTCCAGAATGACAGGAGGACAGGGTTAGAATTCAAAACAACCTTGACAAATAGGACAATTGGTCTGAAATCAACAAAATGAAATTCAATAAAGACAAGTGCAAAGTACTTCACTTAGGAAGGAAAATTCAAATGCACAATTACAACATGGGGAATAACTGGCTAGACATAGCACTGCTGAAAAGAATCTGAAGGTTTTACTGGATCACAAATTGAATGTGAGCCAACAATGTGATGTAGGTGTGAAAAAGGCTAATATCATCCTGGAGTATATTAACAGGAGTATCATATGTTAGATATGGGAGGTAGTTGTCCTTCTCTGACCTCTGCTGGAATACTGTGTACAGTTCTGGGCACCCCACTTTAGCAAAGATGGGGACAAATTGGAGAGAGGCCAGAGGAACAAAAAATGATAAATGGTTTAGAAAACCTGACCTGTGAGGAAAAAACTGGGCATGTTTAGTCTTGAGACAAGAAGACTGAGGGGAGACCTGATAGTCTTCAATATATGAAGGGCTGTTATAAAGAGGACAGTGATAATTTGTACTCCATGTCCACTTAAAGTAGGACAAGTAGTAATGGGCTTAATCCACAGCAAGGAAGATTTAGCTTAGATATTAGGAAAACTTTCTAACTATAAGAATAGCTAAGCACTGGAATAGGCTCCCAAGGGAGGTTGTGGAACCTCTTTCATTGGAGGTTTTTAAGAACAAGTTAAACAAACACTCCTCAAGGATGGTCTAGGTATCAGTGCAGGGGATGGATTTGATGATCTCTCAAGGTCTCTTCCAGCCCTACATTTCTATTATTCTATTCTATGATTCTATTAATATGTTCATGCATTATTCACCCAATTCTAGATTATATCCCAAATGAATGTGGGTCCAAATTATTCTGTTGTATTTTAAAATTCAGTCATACAACTTTCTCATAAGAGCCACCAGGCTTGCCAAAACCAATCTATAGTCACTTTTAATTAAAACCCTCCAGGGGCGGTCACAGAAACAAAGGAATTGCCATAGCATAATGGGCCAGTGGCCCATTTAGTCCAGTATCCTGTCTCTGACAGTGGTCAGCACC